GCCAAATCAACAAGTTACAATTAAAGATTCTAGCAACAAAAAAATTGGACAGATGATTTTAAAAAGAAAAAGTTGGACAGAAATTTGAATGATAAAGAAATTTGACGACAATAATAATGGAAGGTATCAGCAGAAAGGTTTGCAAAAGAATTTCTCCACCCTCATCCAATTCAAAATATCTTTACAAGACATTTTATATATATATATATATATATATATATATATATATATATATATATATATATGTGGGAGGCAGGGGTGAATTACTTGTAATATTAGTCACACTTGTTGAAACTTCCATGTAAAAGTGATAAATTATATTGAATAATTAACATTTTACCCTATGTTTCCTGCAATGATTGATCAGAATGCAAATTATCAGTGACAAAAACATTCCTGATTTGTGGAAAGAAATCTATTTTTCTAGCTTGAGCATGAAATGCAAAAATTCAACAATTTGAAAAAAGTTTTTTTTTTGTTTTGTTTTTTACACAATATTTCTTTTCTAAATAAAGTCTTTGCAATCAGTTATACATTCATTTAGCCACAGACAAAATCCAATGTATATAACATTGATTTTAAAATATTTGACTGCTAAAAGCAAAAAGACTTAAATTTAGAAGTGGTTTTTATTTCTGAAAGTTTTTACTTTCAGAGCAATTTTTGTGGTTTTGACTGAGAAACAAATCAATAATTAACAAAATTAGAAGATATTGATTTTCAGGCTTCTTTCAAGAAAAATAAATCAATATTTACTTCTATTGAACAAAACAAACCATTCCTCGTTATAAAAAAATGAATTTTAACCAAAGATAGAAGTAAAATGTATATATGAACCTTAAATATATATTTCACTTATAAGGTTTCTTCCTTTGTAATTTATTTTTCATTTGCAATATTTAAAATGAATCTGGGAAATTTACATTACCATTTTTATCTAATGTTAGATAATCTTTTATTTTTCTATGGAAGGTTGAAATGGGATAAAGTAATGATAGTGTTCTTTAAATATCTGAGAGTAAGCACAGTTAATTATTATTACTTGATTAGTGTTTCTTGCATCATAATTTTTTTTTTGTTGCAACTCCCATATTATTATTTCATAAGTAAACAGTAGAGTTCTGAGTTTTTAAAATAAAAAAAGCAATAGAAATAATATTAGAGAAATACTAACAAATTAATATCTGTTTGAAAAGTGAGTAGAATATCTTTTTTAGCTGTGAAATTGAACTTATATATCAGTTTTTCTAACAAAGCTATGATTGTTTTCAATGACAACATTTGTAATCACAAGAAATAAAAAATGTAGACCAAATTATTAGTTAAAATCAAATTATTCATCCAATCCTTGGAACTGTAATAGGAAGGCCTTCCATGATTTATATATCCTTTCCAAAGGAGGAAGTTGAATTAGTTGGTAAAATGTTATACAGAAACAGTCTTGGCAAGAAATAATGTTTGAAATAGCACAAAGTGTCATATGACAGAAATTTAAAAGTTTGATAAGACAATATAAATCTACATTCTTTCAAGGCATATAAGTTCCCCAACTCCCACCTACATTTAATATTGGGTGTCTACAGTATTCAGGTAAACATTAGCTTACCAGATATCTCACCTTTGTATAACCCAAGAGACATTTGTGAGGAAAAATAGATGGGGTCTTATATAACATCAAATACAGTAATTGCTTTTCCAGATGACAAGTTTTATATATTGTGCTTGTCATCTATGAAACAGAGTTCAGTAAGCATATTTATTTATTTATTTTTTTTTACAACTACTTCAACTTATTCTAATCTGTTGAAATTTCAATGTACAGTATCCCATCTATAATACCAGTGTATTGTACTTTTTTTTTTAAGAACATCTTATAAGCTAGATTTATGTCATTGGTGAGGGTGAGGGCTAAAAAGTTGTCTTTTTTTTTTCTTATGAAAATTTTCTTTGAAAATAATATACATGCCCAATTGTTATAGATGAAAAGTCATCTATAAAGAATTGGGCATGTATTTAGGGATGAGGGTGGAAATTTTCAGTTTGAAAAAAAAAATGTAACAATTACCACTTGCAAGGTCATTGCCATAAACTTCAAAAACTTTTGTCTAAAAGCAGAAGAAGCTCTAAAAGATGACAACTGAAAAAGCCATGGAATTGTTCATTTATGGCAGCGCAAAAAGATTCATGATTTATTTCAAAATAATCATCTGTAAAATCCTTCAGCCCAAAAATAGAAAAATTGGCAGCAAAATACAACCAATATTTTTTTTTACCTTAGTTGAAGGGAGGATTTTACACAGCAATAAATACTGAGATCTGAAATGCATAGTCTTACATTGCCAATTTTACAAACTAAAATAGGCCTGAAAATGTAACCATTAGAGAAAAGGTTATTTTATAAAAATTCATAGCAAATGATAATATTGCCAATATTTTTTTTTCCCTTGTTTAAAATTTAAAAAGAATGTATTTTATAATTTATCTCACCAATTGGCAATAATTGGTGGTCATGTTTGATCTCTCAGTGGCAATTGTTGTAATTGATCTGAATGATCTTATTTTCTTCATCTTTGGAAAGTGTACAAGTTGAAGCAAGCAAAAAGAACTTTGTAGTAATGGAGAAAATATCAATTTGTATTTACACACAAGCAGAGATTTGTTAAGGTGGCAATTTGAAAGCAGGGAACCAAAACACCAGGTCATTCATTTTCCCAAAGCAAAACAAATCTAACTTAGCTTTAAACATTTTTTAAGACCTTGGTATGTTAACAAATTCATTATCCATGTAAGTATATGGATGGGGTCAATTTAGGCCCACATCATTTATAAAATCTCAACTTATATCATTTCTCACCCCCAACTGTTTAACACATTGACTGCCAACCATGGTTGACCATTATAACACTGACTATGAGTTATATTTTCATCTGTGGGCACCAACAAGTTTATTTATAGTGATACTTTTAGTGTGAAAACAATGTTATGACTTCAGCTGAAGTTATAAATCTACTTATATTTTTTTTTGTTTAAGTTGGCATTTCAAGTCAGATTTTGTAATGTAAACTTTCAGGTAAATAATAGTTTCAAATCTTAAAAGAAACTCACATCTATTTTCTTTCATTTAAAAATTATAAAACGAGATAAGGAATGCCAAACAATGTGTTCATAAAATGATTCCCTCTTCCAGATAATGCAGTCTAGAATTTATATTTTTTCACATACAAGCTGAATAGTATCTTTAGTTATTTTTAACCAAGAGACTGGGTATGTGCCAGATGTGAAAGTGGCATAGGCAAAGATTCAGAAATATATATATATATATATATATATATATGCAGGCACATATAAGAAAAATATATGTTGAGATTTGTGTGTAAAAGTATGAATGTGAGTTTTGCAAGTGTATGGAATTTTATAAAGGGCATAAGATACAATGAATTCTCTATGCCTTGCTTAAGAAATTAAATTCTCTCTGAATTTTTGTTTCACAGTAAGGCAATATAAACATAAGGGGTACAGTTTTCATTCTTGATAATTGAAATAATGGTTAATGCAGATATAAGTATCTGTATGTATATGTGAGCAGGTGTGTATCTAACTAGAATTTATATATCCCAGTGTACAGGTAAATACTTGTCTATAATGTGTGCGTGTGAGTGTATGTATAAAAATTTAAATCTAAATAAAATATCTGGAAAAAAATATGAATATAGACAAAAGGAAAACTTTCCTCTAATGGACTTTATCAAGGCAAAGGATTTTATTTTGCAACATGTATTTATAAAGAGAAACTTTTACTTCTGTTTATAAATGCATGTTGCAAAATAAAATCTTTACATTTGCCTTGATAAAGTCCAACAGACGCTGAAATGCCTTGGTAAAGAAAAGTTTCCCTTTTGTCTTATATATATATATATATATGCATAATATGTGTATGTGTGATTCTTGTTTATATCAGTCTGCATAAAGTTGTGTGCAATTTGAGCAACATTAGCATCACATTATTTTCTAGATGCCATTGGAGCCTCCCAACAAGACTTGGATGTAAACATTCAAACTTTTCTGATTTTTCATTACTATCATATTACATACTGCAATCAGAATTGATAGTTTTCTTTTGCATTCTAAGGTTTGTTCAGACATTTGAACTCCACTTTTTTGTTACTTATATTTTTTAACCACACTATGACTGATCCATTCTACAGCCTTCTTCAAGTGTAAAGTCTGTGAGGAATGAGAAAAAGCATTTTGTCAACTTCCCATGAACACAAAATGCAGCACAAAGAATTTTTTTAATGTGGGAAGCAACATATTTGTGCATGTATAAGTGCAAAAATTGCCCAGTTCCATCCATAAGTGTTAGAATATGCCCTACACGTTTTTTTTAGTGCAATAAGAAGGTGCCATCTAGAAAATAGATCCCCTAGGAACCAGACATCCCATAAAAAAAGAGAAAGATCTCTTTATAGAATATAGTGGGAGATAATATATCAACTGGTTCAGTTTAACAACATCAACCACTTGGATGATAGCATTTGTGGTTATCTTAGTAGCTTTTGATTCTAATTTATACAAAGGAATGTACCTCAATTCCTTCACTGATGAAAAGAATGAGTTCAATTGCCTAAATAAATCTGGGAATGTTAATGATTCTTTTCAAAATTATTTGTTTTTTTCTTGATTCTTATGCTCTATTTATAAAGCCCATTTCAGACAACCATTTTTTTTTTATAGAAATGTAAGTCATATATATATATATATATATATATAAAAATAGTAATATATGTTAGTTGTGTGTGTACTTTGACTGTCTCTTTCAAACCTTTGTTGATCCAGCATTTTTTTTTTTTTTTGCATTTTTCAATATGTCTGTTTGCAACAAAGTAGCAGACATTTCGGTAAAAAAAACAACAGAGACAAATGTCAAGTGGACTTTGCTGAACGGAATTTTCTGACAAAACTTCTCAAACCCAAATAGAAAGCATGGAAGGAGATTAAATTTATCCGAGGTATTGTATAGACCCATACATTTCACGAAATTCTTGCAATTGGCTTGAGCTAATGTTACATAACAAATTGTCTATACACTGGAGTTCAATTTCTTTGTCCTGTTAAAGAAGAAAACAAATGAATTATTACAATTATATTATAAATAGAAACATACATTTAAATATTTGGGCATCAAATTTTGCTCACTCCCATAACATTTTCTTTTTTAGTTTAGTGATCAATGGTCACTTAATAATGAGCTTAGTATAACAAAGCAAAAATAGTGCTAAAGAGAAATTGTGTGCATTATTGAATTTAACCAACATTACCTGTCATTTTTTTTAAAAACATTTTTCTAGTTTTTATAAAGAACCTGTCCAAAGTACTTTTGACTCTCACTTGTTATCAAGAACATTAATGTTAACAGAGAAATTTTGATCAAGGTCATCCTGGCATTTTATAAAAATTGATGTAAACCTTTATCTGATAACATATTTGAAATGAAGAATTCTTGCTTTTTTAAAGAGTCAATATTAGCTTCAAACTTGTTTTTCTTTTCATCTTCTAAAAGAAAAACCCGTATATGCTTTGCTATTCAGGCCAGAATGCTCATCTGGGTTTTTATCCTTGCAAATGATGAGCTGTTCTAGCTGTTAACATTCTTAGAATTTTGGACCAAACTCTTTAATCAATTTACAGCGATAGATTGTTCTCATTTTACTTCTCATGCTTAGAGAATATCAGTGAAGACTTTTGTGTCACTTGGTTGTTTCTTCCATTAGGCCAAAGTACATGACTTTACAGCACTACCAGAACCATGGATTGAACAACTGTCTATTGGAAATATGGTGTAGTGGATTAAAGCATTTGTTAAAATGTATCTGATTTCTGAGAGTTCAATCTCTGGGCCTGATAGTGCTGAAAAATCATGTAATCTGGTTCAATGGAAGAAAGGGACAAGTGGCACAAAAGTGAAATAAATTGATGAATATTAACTGATAAGAGTTATTTCCCTTATGCATGGAAAGTGGAATGAGAACAAAATGAAAAGTGTAAAGAGATAGAAATACTGGAATATGCAGGTAGGCATAAAAAGATAAAAGAAATAACAGGATAGAATGCATAAAGTCTAAAAAAAGAAACACACATAAAAGATTAAAAAATATATATATACTATTAAGATTGAATTAATACATCAAAGATCTCTTCCATCAGAACAGAAGAGTGAAACTTAGATTATGTTAAAACAAAGAAGGACCTGAAATATTAATAATCTAGAGTAAGATTGGTGATGTGATGGTCAAAACGAACAAAAACAAAACAGTAGGTCTAGATTGGATTGTAATAGAAATTATGCCAACTTTAGATGATTTGGGGACTGATAAGATTAATGAAATACTAAATGAAATATATGACAGCAGTGAAACACCAGAAGACCTCAGTAGATTTATTTTCATAGCAATATCAAAGAATCCAGATGCAAAAGAATGTCAATTCCATTGGACAGTCAGCCAAATAACATTAAGATTTTAATGAATAGAATTTGTAGCAGAATTAGACCAGAAATATGTCAAGGACAGTGTGGCTTTGCTCAAGATATTGGAACAAGAAATGTCATCTTCATAATAAGAATGCTATTAGAACATACAAAACAAATACAGAAAGATCTGTACTGATGTTTCATAGATTACACAAAATACTTGATAAGGTATGATACAAAGAGCTATTTGAAATACCAGAAAAGCTTGGGATGGGTATTTGAGTAATTGGTTACATTTACTAGAATAAAAACAGCCTAAATATGGATATAAGACGAGTTCAATGAATAAATAAAAATAAAAAGAGGAATAAGACAAGAAGGAATTTTCTCACTGGATCCATACAACCTGTACAGTGAGACAATCCTAAGAGAATCAGATAACCTAAAAGGATTTATTATTGACAGACATTTGTGTATCTTGTTATCAAATTAGAATTCAGAAGAACTCATAGACAAGGCAGTAATTGAGTGCAAGAAGAAAGAATGTCAGCAAAAAAGATATTGAAAGAGGTGGCTGGATTTTTTAGAATGCATGCGCACCCTAAGTTAAGGGTTGTGTGGGATAAGGATGCCTCAGGTGGATTTAAAAAGAAAAAATCCCTCACCTGTGTATTTGAAGCTCAAAGGTAAGAAGATACCCATTCAATATCAAATACAACAGGCACAATTATTAAGATATATATCTATGATATACACATATAAAATGGATAACATTTCATTGTTATATACAAATCAAATATGTAATTGTATAAAATGAACTTGTACATCATTTACAATCTATATAAAATTATTTAAAAACAATAAACAAAAACAAACCTTTAGCATTCTTTTCAGCAGACAAATTCTCTTCTTTTTGTCAAGATGTTTATCTGAGATTGACATTTTCATATCAGATGACTGAATATGACTCCTCCTCCTCTGATTTCGATCTGTTCCACAAATTGTCAAGTCTTTTTTCTCCAATTGCCGATAAAGTTCTTTCAGGTCATCATTGCTACTGTCAGAATCTGGAGAAAATTTACACCAGAATATTAAAATTTATACAATTTAGTAATTTAAGGAAAACATTAAATTCTACTTGTCATCGATTATTTAGTTTGTCATGTGATTGAACTGCTGCTCTCTTTGGTTATTCTCAATGAAAATTAGTTGAATGTTAAACACAGCTCATATGTCATAATCCTATTTTGCCTATCAGTGATGCTTACATTCATTCCTGATCACTAACAATATTTAAACCCAAAATGTAAAATTTTAATCATAAACTTTACTTCCAATCACCAGAAATATTGTATTTTTATAGTAAAGTATTTTATGCTATGTGGAAATCAATAAAAGCTGAAAATTGATTATTGTCCCAGAGTTTGCTATGTCACAGCATATACAGAGTGTGACAGAAATACCTCCTGTATAATGGTAAGACATTAGCTAGATGAAGACACCATTGTCACTATGTGGGAGGTTTTTCTGCTGCACCCTTAGAGTAAAAAAAATTTTTTAATACAATTCATGCCAACCTACCTCCAGTGTAGTGTCCAAAAAACACATTGACTAGTATTATATTATTATATTACATTAGATAAACTATATATTAATGTATAGTTTGATAAATAAAAATACTTGTAACCTATCAGGCACTTAGACAAAAGAAGAAAACATACCAACAATTTCTTATTAGCTAAGAATAAAGTACAACTGTCCCTATTTTCTGTACTTGTAATAGTCAAAAGTTTTGCTTAATGATTCCAGAATGCAAGAGTAATGATTATTTTCTGTTAATTTTTTATTGTGCCTACTTTATAAATTAAACTTTATCATAAGTATGTATGTATAGGAAAAATAGTATATATAGGATTCAGTACAATTTATAGTTTCAAGAAACACACTTGGATTCTTATAATGTCCCTCTGTAGATAAGAAAGGGGATATTGTATAGGTATTTTCAGATGAGTAAGTCATTAATGTTTGATTAGCTAACAAAAATGTACATATATCTGTCACATAAAATCAACTTTGATATAAATATTTGATGTACACAGACAAGGCAAAGTACATGAATCCATGAAACCCAATTTGAATATTATATAAGGATCAAATTTATAAAACCAATATACTTACCACAAGGAGCCAAATAGCAAACTACAAGTGAATATTTTTGCATTCATTCAATATCATCATCAAAACATTTAAAAATAAAGAGATTTAGCTGTTTGTTTTATAACGAAGAAGTAAAACAGAAAATAAGAAAACCTGTCCCGAAGTGAGAAGCAAAGTAAATTAAACAAAAGCCAAAAGAAAGGACCAACTCATTTCAGAAGAAAAGAAGCCAACTAAGGCCATTCATATATAAATGGCATTAGGACCAACCCAATGAAGAAAGAAAAAAAAAAAAGAGACATAATTTAAGTGCAAACCCATTTAAAAAGAAGTCAGGGATGACAACAGATTTCAGAAAAAGCACTTCACAGAGAAAAGATTTATTCTTCAAGCTCTATGTTACTCACAAATATATTTTCCTTTAAATAACATTTTTGTTTTCATTTGAGAAAGAAATCTGAAGAAATACATATAAAAGATTTTGTATGTCAGAGTTGTATATCAACAAAATGTCAAGTATTGATATCTTACATTTTTCTTTTAGATTGAACTGAAGTTCAAAAACAAAATACAGACAGGTTTTAAAATTAGGATATATAACCCCAATAAAGTTTTTAAATTGGAAATGTTCATGAGAGTAGATTTGTTTAGGAATATATCCGATAATGCATTTTGCCATTTAAGGCTTCATCAGGTCCAAAAAGAGAAAGAATGAAATCCGTGTATGTGTATTTAAATAATGAAATCTTATTTTTCTCCAAGCTGGCATTTCAAAAACCAAATCTTACTTTCTACCCATTCTGAAAGATTATATCTTTTGACTCAAACAGAGAGGAAAGAAAATAAATGTTAATGACTTTTTTAAAAGTCACTCATTTTCTTTTTTTTTTTTATTCACAAGAAATACCAGTTTGAGGAAAAATAAGATTTCATTATTTAAACATACACCCACACATTTCCATCTTTCCTTTTTACTTTTCAGATCTGATAAAGCTTTCAATGGTGAAATGCATTATTGAATATATTTCTAAACAAATCTACTTTCATGAACATTTCCAATTGTGAAAATTTTTTAAATCATACAGTTATCTAAATAATGATTAACTCTTCATTATACTTGAATAATGGTGGCTATGAATTCATTACATGGGTATATCTATCCAACCATATTTTAGGGTTGTCCATAACCAGTTTCTTTCAGGGAATTTAATGAGATGTCAATGAAATATCTGGAAGTTACCCAAGTGTTCCTGGTGTGGAGGTTACATCATGTTGCTGGAACAAATCATCATCATTAGGAAACATTGTGAGTATAAACAAGTGCAGCAAGATCTGTTTTTGCTCCACCGACTGCTGAAAGGGGCTAAGTTCCACTAATGGGTCTTTCAAACCCTAATAGAACACAAACCATAATCATTACATCAGCTTGAATAAAAACTAAGTTGACTAGCCTCCTCATAAAGCCTCTTCCTTGTGTAGCATCAAGTAGTCTCTTCTACAACTCAACTGTTGGACCCAAAATAGTAGGAAATGACTCATTTGAACAGGTGATATGGTGTCAGTATTTCACATTCTGACGACAATGTTTATGGTTGCTGAAGTTAAGCAACATTTAGCTTGATCAGTAGCTAGATGGGTGACCACTTGGGAATACCTGGTGGCGTAATGGATAATGGCCCAAAATTGGAAATCTGACAGCAGAGTTCCAATTCCAGTCAGATTTGTTATATTCACAACTGACTGGAATATTATATATATGCACAAATACCCTTGAGAAAGGTATGAATCCACCTCTTCTGCCTCCAGCTATGGGTTAATTAGTAGAAATTGTATCAATGTCATTATCTCAAAAAATTCTTACAATCTAAAAATATTTTCTGGCTTTATCAACCTGCAAAAGGGTTGATAAGCCATAAAAAAAACAAATCAATCTGAAAACAATGTTCCAATGACAAGGGAGCTATAGCAACTGATGCGGTGGGTGTCCTTGCTGGTCAATGATTACAAAACTCTATAGAATACAGTGTATGCTTTGACACATTGACTGATGTGTTAAGTGGCATCAGCATTGAATTGGGATGTGATTTATTAGAGAGTAAGTTTCCTTACCAGTCACTAGATACTATTGCCCAAATAAAAACCTTAGAACAATTGCCACCTCAGAGACAAAGTACCCTATCTTTCTGGCTGCAACAAAAATCCCAGTCAGTGTTAAATCCGGTCTGCATTCCATAGCTGCCACATCTACACTACCTCTTTAGGCTGAGTAAGAAGGGCAAAACTAGTGAGTGTACTGCTGTCTCTAATTTTTTGGTACTTCAGTCTATAAAGAGATTCTCCAGGCAAAAATCATTTTTGATGACCAAACCTTAATTTTAGGATTATACTTTGACAATAAAGCCAAGACATTACATGATGCTTGTTATTACTGGTTAGTTACCAGGTATTTTTAAATTGTTTCTTGTAGCTCTGTGTTGTACAACTGCTGCATTAGTAAATCATGGGAGACAAGGAAGATTCATTAACAATTATTTATGAAGAAAATGTCAAAATAAAAAAAAATTCATTTTTATATATGTAAATCAATATATCCATAGCCTAATGATGAGAAAAGGCATTTATTTTCCATAAAGTTCAAAACAAACTCCTTCTTTATCAATGTAGTTGATTCAGTGCTAAATATTAATTATATAAATTGAAAATATTATGCAGTGAAAATTTGAGATAAGAAAAATCTGTATGAAGCTATAGACTTATTGATCAAGTCTTATCTTGTATATAAACAGCACCAGGTCAAAAAAGGATTTGTTTTGTTAGTTTTTTATAAAGTATGATAGTTGTTCTGTAAACATGAATGTAATCAATATTTGATTGATTGAATCAAAAAATGTGGTTGACTGATTTGAAATGATATATGTTCATATCAACCTTAGAAACCTAGTGATTAAATCAAATGTTAATTAATCTCAAAAACTTTTTAAATTTCTTGATTTCTGTTTTGCTTGATTGACAAAAAAAAGTTTTTTACCTTTAAAAAAGCAGAAATATTCAAGTCACAATAAAGATACACTTTTTAAACCCCTTAAAACACTTTTCACAAATTAAATGTTTAATTGCCATCAAGTGATGAATTTGGCAAAACATGATGCTGCATCAAATTTTTCATCACAAATGTAAAGGGAATATTATTTTAAACATTATGATTTTATTTTTGAACTTATTTGAAGTTTAATACTGTTGAAGGTTTTAAAATAATACAAACCAATTTTAACAAGTGTGTCCCCCGCCCCAACCCCAATCTCTCTTCTTTTTCCTCTCATGAGATTTAGTCATGCTTACTTACCCTTTAGTTCAAGATTGTCAGGAAAATCATAGTGTGTGAAGTTACTGTCATCATTTTCATCTTCACTTTCACTGTAGTAATCAGTAGCTGCTAGTGAGAAAACAAAAAGAAGAAATTAAGTCATGAATAAAAAAAAAAAGCTTTATGGTACATCAATTCTCACATATTGGTCATGAATGTATACACACATGCACATACACACACACATACACATTGACTTTATGCAATGATTATTGTAGAATGATTTCTTTTAGTACATTTCCAAATTTCTTTTCAATTATACATTTTTTTTTTTAGTTTTCTTAATATTCAAAGTTTCAAACTTACATTAACCTCTAGCATATTAAAAAGTAAAATGAGACGAGTTATTATCAGTAGAGTTGCAGAAGTAATGTTATTTGAGAATGCAAGATGGATACATAGTGAAGAGACTTATAGACCAGACTACCAGTAAAAGGAACAAAGGCTTGCTATATCTGAAGAACCCATTAGGAAGAACTTTGAGATGGAGGCATAATGATTAGTCTGGAAAACATTCTCAAAAGACATAAACCAAGTGAACTAAGAAGCATCACTTTACCCATAGAGTTTGAAGTAAAAGCCATTCCATTGCCTGACATTATTCCAGTTGAGCATGCCAAAAACTGTTTCTAAGCTTACCATCAGATGGTCCACAAGAATCTGAAAGCTGCCTGGTTACTTTTTAGATTATTGGTAACTAATGACAGAGAACTTATGTAAAATATTTAGAAAACTGTCTTTTTTTCATACTAAAAATAAAAATAATGTTTTGTAGAAATTCATGCTTCTTTTTGCTACTGTTAATTTGAACTGGTACAAATACAGGGGTTGGACGAAATAATTGGAACACTTGTTAAATTCAAAGAAAATTTATTTAATATGGGCTTGGTCCTCCTTTAGCCTCAGAGACAGCTTTAATACATCTAGGAATGGAATCATACAGCTTCCTGACTTCATCCAGAGGAATTTGCAGTCATTCTTCCATTAAAACCTTCTCCAGCTCTTTATGACACAACAGTGGAGAATAGCGGCTCCTAACTTGTTGCTCTAAAATGCACCACAAACAATAATATTGATATCTTGAGATTGGGGAGGTCACTCCATGTGTTCCAGCTCACTTTTATGCTCTTCATACCAATTCTTAACCACTTGAGCGGTATGTATTGAAGCATTATCATCTTGGAAGATGCAGTCACCATCAGGGAATAAAGTCTTGGACATTGGATCAACATGATCTCCCAAAATGTTCAGGTAATCTTTGCTGTTGATTCTACCATGCAGGGCAACTATTGGACTGAGACATTTCCATGATATGGCGGACCAAACTATCACTGATCCACCTCCATGCTTCACTGTTGGAAGAAGGCAGTCAGGGTTGTAAGCTTCTTTGGGCTGCCTCCACACATAAACTTGACCTGAAGTTGGGAAAAGAGAAAAGCTGGACTTGTTTGAGAATATGACTTGCTTCTATTGGTCTGCAGACCAGGCATTGTGATCTCTGCACCACTTCAATCTCTTTTGAATGTTGCGAGTGAAGAGAAGAGATTTCCTCATAGCGGCTCTTTCATGATATGCAGCCTTATGGAGCTCACTGTGAACAGTTTTAGAAGAAACCAAACTATTCAGATGGTTATTCAACTCAGCAGTCACTTTGGTCGCATTTGTCTGATGATTTTTTGCCACATAGCGTTTCAATGCACGTCAATCCCTGTCAGTAAGTTTGCAAGTTCGGTCCGAATTGCTACGGTTGCTAGAGGTCTTGCCCTGTTTCTCGAATTGCATCAGTGTTCTTGATATGGTAGCTCTTGAAAAACCAAACAGTTCAGCTACCTTAGTGATCGAGGCTCCTGCCATGCAAGCTTCAACAATTTGCTCTTTTTCAAACTCAGAGAGGTCATGCATTTAGCTTAAATTTTACTAAATTCTAAAAATAAATAAGACAAAGACAGTAAATTAGATAAATAAATGTATTTACAATAGATATAACCTGCAATTATGAAGTTTTAGTTAAATTTCTTAATATAATAGGTCTTTGAAATATAGGAGTGGATTTTGCAACTGTTCCAATTATTATGTCCAACACCTCAAGTACACCTATTCTATGTTCAATGTCCTTATCTCGTATACTAAATTTGTTAAAACTGATCCATACACCGAGGTATTTAAAGTGTTTAGTATTTATTAATTCTAAATCCTGGACTTTTATGATAGACTCAGTGTATGCGCCATCAGTGCTTTTATTCCAATTTCAGATCATAGTTTTTGTTTTGGAAAGTTTTATCTCAAGTCTTATTTCTTGAAACACTTGGTAGAGGATGTTGAATTTTTGTTCAAGATCATTCCTATCCTAAAATATATATTTAAAGACTCATGTCTGTGATATTTGGTCAGAAGTGGGTCAGGCCAAGAATGTTTCAGCATCTCCTCATATGTGATTATTTCAGGTTTTAGCATTCCATACCACATCCCAAACTAATAGAAAACGGTGTCCTTTCTTTCCCTCCTGAGGCAAATATACCGATAATGAGAGGGGACGGCTATGCCAATAACATAAGCATTCATACTTGGGGTACAAAATTTTTTTTTTTTCACCTTTAACTGTCGGTTGGGTGGCTGAAGGCAGAAAAAACAGATTTGTCTTCATCTTCCTCATGATCCATTCAGTGGGCTTTCAGATAGTTTGGCGGTGCCCATCTCTTCTCCAAATTCTTGACCAAGAACCAAAGACCACTGAATATGGTGTGAGTTGCCTTCACTCTGTAGACTAGGCTCTCAGGTTTTTAATTCACAATTGTCCTTCTAGACAGGTTGCCACCCAAGGATATAAGACTTAGTCTGTCCTGCTATTTTACCTATAGCTGGAGGTAAATGCAATGGATTCATACCTTTCTCAAGGTTGTTAGCATATAAGTGAATGTAATGAACTTTGGAAAGCAAGAACACCTTATTCTGTTTTGGGATTTGTTTGAGATGTTTAAATCTGAAATAAAAACATATGAGCAGGTGCTGAAAAATTCTAGGCCAGTCACACTTCCTAACATCTGACCCAATTAGTATATTAATATTTAGTAATTTTTGGGGTATCAGTTTATTACTTAATAGCAATAGAAAACTGACCATCCATTAAAATTATATATTAAAACTTGTCCCAAGAATATTAACCCTTACCCTGCCAAAGAGTAACTAAAAAAACAAAAAATTCTACAAAAGTTTCTATGTCAAATTGGATGATAGTAAATTTGTGACTTTTGCAAACCAAACTTATCATGTCTCAGGTCTGGTTAATCAAGAGCCATTAATTATTTTATTCATTACTATTTTTATATCCAATTAGTTGCTAATCTGAAAAATGTAATCAAAGATGTGTATAAGCAATTCCCTCTTTCACTATATTATAAAGACTGTGCAAATGTCAATCTAACTTCACCCCCTTAGCTCTAAAATCCAACTTGCAATTCTCTTTCTCTCTTCTCCTCCAAAAGAGCAGATAAATATCAAATTTTAAGCACTTATCATTTATTAATTGTGGCATATGATTATTTTTTTCTTTCATGTAGAGATTGAAATTTAAATAAGTTTTTTAGCAGTCCATTTTTTTCTTTTTTTGGAGGGGGAGTACCAGCTGTGCCAATTAAAATTAATGCTGCTAACTTATAAAAAAGTTTTTTTTTGTAATTAAGTTTTTACACCTTCTGTACATTTGCTTAGATAGCAGTCAAACATTTCATCAGATCACTTACTTGGTTAATTTTGTTTTCTTGCCATGTCATTTAGATAAAGGGATTTATGGTAAAATGCATTGTCAATTGTTTAGATTTATATACACATATCCCCATTCATTGCAGGTCTATTCAAAAAGCAATTTGATAATTAAATTACTTGACCATCTTACGAGGGCAATATTTCCAAAATGCTAAAATCTCTATAAATCTATTTTTGTAACTAAAAGAATGAAATTGGTTAAAATTGCTGTTATGTATCCAATTTCACATGAGAACTTTGAAAAAAAGAAAAAAAAACAAAAAAACTCAATCCACTGCTTTGTTGAATGGGATTTTGAAAGTGGTATGTCACTGTGAAAGAAAGTACAGCAAACAGACAAACATGTTTACAATAAGACACAGTGTCAAAAGAGCAGTTTTTTTCCTCCATGACACCAATTTTTTTAACTACCTTCACACTTCAGCAATGTTTGTTTTAAAAAGTGATGATTAGAATTGGAATAGAATCTAAACATATGAAAATGAATTTATACATTTTTTCTGTTCTTGAGATTTTACAACAAAAATATTAATAACTATTCATTTATTAGATTGTTTAATTAGAAGAATAATTTCATATTTACAACATTCTAAAAACTCATACAATTAAAACTAATTCAATATTTATCATTTACCAATTTATAAAGAAATAAATATGAAAACTTTTATTCATAAATTTATAAACATTTAATAAATTATTAAAATATGTGAACTGTTATTTACCATTTTATAAAGTTCAAATTGATTGGGAATTAGCCAATGTTTTACTAACCATTCCAATAAATAATCTAATAAATAAATAGTGTTTATTATTGTCAATTCTCAAGAACAAAGAAAATGTATAAATTCCCTTTCATGTTTATTTCAATTCTAATCACTGCTTTTTAAAACAGTAAACATTGCCAAAGAGTGAAGGTAGTTTAAAAAAAAAGAAGAAAAGAAAAAGTGGTGTCATGAGAAGAACCATCCTTTTGACAGTACATCTTATTGCAGGTCTGTTTGTCCATGTTTGCTGAAAGTACTTTATTTGATAGAGTGTAAGACACTCACAACACCCCCATTGGTGATAGTCAAAGTATCTGGTAAACTACTTTTTATTCAGACACCACAGACTAACAGTACTGGACCTAATTCCATAATACTGTAATATTAAATGTAAACTGACTGGAGGTATTATATACCATCAAATATGGCATATTGAGTGAGTGCCTAGATAATTAACTCTTACTGCTTAGCAAGAGCAGCAAATGATTTTTATAGCCATTGTCAATTATGACAAAGATTAATAGTGTGCAGTTTTTATTTTATTATTCAAAGGGCATATTTAATTTCAAACTTCTAAATCATTTGCACTGTTGCTCATAGAGATGTTGAAAAATATATAGCAGAAAGAAAATAAGTTTTTATGGACTGATCAAATTTTAATGTTTTCCTGACTTTGATAAAATGTATTTAGAATACAATGTATGAAGTATAAGAATCTAACAATTAAAGACTGACAAGTTATTTTAAATTAAAAATATTTTTAATGTCAATTTTATATATATATATATATATATATATATATACACACACAGAGAGAGAGGTACAGCAATAAGCTCACAGCCTACTGATGATGAAAAGTTTTGCCCCATAAGTATTTATTTTTCAACGCAATCTCTCTCATTGTTAATGCATTTGATTCAGTGGTAAATATTCCTCAGATTGAACATTATACAGTGAAAATCTGAGATCAGAATTCAACTAATAACTATGTCATATTGTGGAATTATTGATCCAATCTTAGATTCTATTGAAATAAAATTTATTTATGTTCTTAAGTTGACATTTTTAATTCTTTAATTTTATTACAATGTTATGCAGTAGGTTAAATTTTATTACATCAAAAAAATATTGAAAAAATTTAAAGCCATGATTTTAAAATATATAATATTTTTTAAATAAAAATAATGCTGATTAACTATATAATATTAAACATGTAACATAAAAATTTCAAAAGTTAATAAAAATAATTTTTAATTTTAAAATCTATAAAAATGAATTGTCTAGACTCACTTTGATTTAAAAGTGTTGGATTTACAGGTTCTTGTTTAACAACTCCAGCGGCTGTGGGGTTAACATTGGACATATCATAACTAATGGCTGCTAAACCCATTTTATTCATCCATCTGTAAAGATACAAAAACAAATTAAGTCAAATAGGCAGATGTAAACATTATATATATATATATATATATATATATATTATAAATATTATGTTATGATAGTCATGTAAACATGCAGATATAAAATCCTTACAGTTATCTTGCTACTTAATGCATTCTTAGAAATTGAAAATATGTTTTTCCTACACACTTCCCCAAGTGAACGTGTGTAGGAAAAACATGGTATAGAATCGGTTTTGTTATTTCATTTATTTTGAATTTCTAAGAATACAATAAGTAACAACATTTACAATAACATCATCTTTATATAATCAATAAGCTTATACTACAGGCATAGGATAAATTCATGAAAATATTTTTTGACCTCATCTTATCTAAAAGTTGTCTTATACATGGAAATATATGAGAATCCTAATAATTTGACAAGAATGGAACATTTCACTATTTCATTTACATTCTAACTTGCATTTACTTAGTCATCCTATATTGCCAATTTAATGTTTGGATGCACCACATTCTTCCTACTCTCTTACCCTTGGAAGTTTCTTTTTCTCTCACTATCAGTGATGTTATCCATTTCTCTCTGAACTTTAAACAACATTTTCATAACAAGATGGCCAATGGCTAGAATCCTGTGTTTGACATGTCAGCAAGCCAAAAAGTGGTAAGAGGGTTTTCTTACAAGCAACCATTTACCATATTAAAGAAAGATTATACTAAATTCCTGGTCTCCAATCAGTTTACTGAAGAAATATTCCTAAAACAGATTTAGAAATGGTAAATTGGACTTTTTATTTCACATTATTGTTATAATTAAATAGAAAAGTCAATATACAAGATTCTAGGCCTTTTATCTAGCCATAATGTGTGCTGAGAAAAGAACTATCAAATTTGAATGCACTTATATATATTCTTATATATGTCATAAAATAAACATATGTGTATATTTTAACTAAATAAAAATGACCACATTATATATATATATATATATATATATATATATATATATAGTGAAAGGGACAGAGATAGCATAGTTATTTCAAAATATTGCATATATCTGTACAATTATGCAACAAGTTATATTCCATTGTCAAATGAAGCTATTATAAAAGCCTATTTCAACATAAAAATTTCACCCTGGATTCTAATAATTTAACAAAACATTAATAATTTCATCTTGTCAGATCAAAAAGCAAACATTAGTGAATTATAAAAATGATTAATTTAATCCTCTCAGTAAAAATCATTCTTTATTGTTAGAGTGTAAAGAATTGGTAAATTAAATCCAATATTAGCTTCAAGTATACAGAAACAGAAAATTAAAAAACAATTACCAGCTTAGATTGGTTTATTGTTGTATGGCTATATAAACTAACTCAAGAGACTTTTGACTGTTTTTGTAGTTGTGCATACAGAAAAAAGGAAAATATCTATTCTTATTTAAAATATAAAAGTTTTAATATCAATTTCTTCAATTTTTATCAATTATTAAAAAAACTCTTAAAATCTTTTGTTGTTAAGAAAAAAAGCAAAAGGAAAAGATACAAACTTGCTCATATCATCTTGCCTTTCAGAGGCAAAGTAGAAAGTTGTTCCTGCATTGTGGACTTTGAATGCACTGAAAAGAAATTAAAAAAATAAGAGAGAGAAAAAAGTTAACATTAACAAAAGAAAGCTTCTTTGTTGTTGTTTACAGAAAGAAAAATGACTGAAATATTTTAAGCAAAAATCTTTCCAGGGCATTTGTTTTATCAAAAGTCATGAAGACACAATAAAAATAACTGCATCGATTGAATTTGCAAGCTAAGAGAGAAGTATCAATATGATTAAAACAGCCATGTGACATTACCAAAACAGTAATAACATCATCTAAACAGTCACTTAAACCAAATCACTATTTTTATTTAGTTAGCTTAGATTTACTTAGCTTTGCTGATCATTTCACCATGATGAGATGCTCAAATTATTTAAGAGGTGTTGGTTTTGGCATAAGGCCACTCACTTGATAGTAGTTTAATAAAAGTTAAAGAGTATCTCATTAATAATTACTTCACGGCAAGTTACCCTAGATTACAACATTGACCAGCTAACTTACAAGGAGCATTGTATGGTTTAGCAATTTTGCTATCACATTCCTCTTACCATCTCTCCCTGTTTATATACTAGAATGTAAGTTAAACATGGTCAAAAGTTCTATGGTCGCTGATTGACTCTCCAAATTAGTTATCTGAATGTTCATTCCTCAAAATAACTTAAATGGAAAATCAGAATCAAAACCAGGACTGTTTTACTTGTTTTTGTTTGTTTTTTTTTTTGCTTAATAGGAGTAGATATTCTTTCCCTTTCTCTTCAACAGGAGAGAAGAGGCTCATACTTTGTTTCCTGTTTAAGAATGGGTTCCCAGTTCCTTTCCTTTTTCTCAGCTTTTAATTTCTCAAACACTCAATGTAAGTGGTGGACTTTCCCCACACATTTCCTCACTAACCCTGATGGACACACTTCTTTTTTTACCTCTATCAGAGACTCATGTTGTACTTTGCAGCTCTGCCCTACTGGCAACTCTGATCATGTGGTAGTGTCTGTAAACATCTCTTTCCGCTCCTCTATCAACCAAGAACAGAATATCTTTGTTATTGTGTGGATTGAGACTTGTTCTGTGACTTTCTTCATGACATCCCCTGGAATGTAGTTTTTAATAATCCTGTTCATAAATGCATGTCTGAGGTCTCCACCTAAGTGAAAGCCAGCATCGATGCTTTCATTCCAGCAAGGAAATACCAAGTTAAACCACATTCATTTCTGGTTCTCACCTGTATGCACAGCAACTATAGCCCACAGGAATCACTTCTTCTGGCTGTACCAGAGTAACATATCTGATTACAATAGATGTCTTTGTCTCTGCTTGTAATATGTGCAAGCATGTCCTCAAAGTGAAGTTACATGAAACAACATATAGCATCTCACAAGTTCAGTTCTAGACACTGCAAGAGTGTGCTGAACAGCAAATCCTCCATTCCTTCTTTATTCAATCAATTTCTGACATCTACAACAATTCAATTCTCTTCCAACTCAACTGATTTCCTTCCTAGAGGCTCTACTGAGTGATGTGTGCATAACTTCATCACAGATCTCATATTATTTCTAAATTAGAATCCCATAAGGCAAGCAAAGGTAATGGGATCCCAGCCATTGTCCTAAAGAAATATGCTCCCGAGCTGGCTCCAGTTCTCTCCAAATTGTACAACTATTCCCTCGCTGATTCCTGCTTGTTGGAAGTCCTTCTCCGTAGTTCCTGTTTTTTAAGAACTCTGGAGAACCTTCAGATTCCTCTATTACCCTATTAGTCTCCTACCACTTTTCAGCAACGTATTCAAGGCTTTAACCAATGATAAAATGGTTAAGCATTTTACTTCTCACAACCTACTCTCTGACAAACAATATGGCTTCTGTTTTGCCAGATCTACTGCTGATGTGCTAACATTCATCACTGAATATGTATATCAAGCTTTTGATAATAATGGTGAAGCTTGAGCTGTGGCTTGAGATATCTCGAAGGCGTTTGACATGCTAGTCTTCTATGTAAGTTCCAAGGCGATGGTATTACTGGCCAATTGTTTGATTTAATCCAATTGTCACATGGGCATGGTGTCCCCCAAGGCTCTATCCTGAATCCTACGTTGTTTCTGATCTTCATCAATGATCTTCCTGATGTCATCAGCTTTCAATAGGCATTTATACTGATGACACTAATGTCTCAATAGCAAATCCGTCAAGAGTTGACAAAGTTAACCTGGCCACTGCTCTTGAAAAGGAACTCCAGTCAGAAATTGCTCATAAATTTAATGCCGCCAAAATGAAACTACACTCATTTAACCACTAAAGAGAAACTTTCTTGCCCACCATCAGAGTGGCTGATGCTAGACTCATGGAGAGCAACACACTGCACCTTCTTGTCCTCATATTTTCAACTGACGTGAAATTGAATGCCTACATCGAATCATCAGCTGCATCTACTGCAAGGAAAGAGTCATTGTGTTATGCCAGAAGTTTCTCATCAGAGTCCATCTTGTACATTTACAAATCTACCATTTATTCTGGCATTGAATACTGTTGCCATATCTAATCAGGTGCTCCTACTACCAATCTTAAGGTTCTTGACAAAATCCAAAGAAGGATCTGCAATGTAATTATTCCTGACTTGGCATCTTGACTTCATCATTTTCTCACCATTGTGATGGGGGTTTCCCTCTGTTTTTTCTACTAATATTTTCATGGCTACTGCTCTGAAAAGCTTTTTTACCTAGTGCCCGGATTACTTGTCTTTAAGTGTGCTACTAGACTGGCATCTAGGTCCCACCCTTTTGCTGTTGAATTAGGTAAATGTAACCGCCACTTCTACTACAACAGTTTCTTTTCTCGCACTTCCTGCCTGTGGAACTGTCTTTCATTTACTTGCTTTCTTGATAACTACAATCTTCAAAGATTTAAATGCATTGTCAATTGCCATATTTTATCTTCTTGAACACCTTTTCAGCTTTTATCCTTTCCTCAGTTCCCCTATACCCAGGTCTTTTCTCTCTCCTTCACTCTTTCTAACCCCCTGCATACTAGTGGCATTTTCACCTTGCTTGGGGTGAAATGATTATAAAAAAAACCCGAAAACACTGTTGTTGAGAATAAATCTGAACTAATATATTTTATGATACATCAATTATAATATATAGTCATGTAAAATCAAACTTATTTAGTCTTCAGACATAAGCCTTAAAATATATTCTACTAGTGGAACATTGGGCACTAAAAAGTTAATATTAATGGTTCTTAGTTGTTGCAAATTTCTTGTAGAAAGAAGCAGAAGAAAGCATTCTGTCTTTCTAAAATTAATATATGGTCAACTAGTCTTTCTAAAATTAATATATGGTCACTAAAATTAATTCTAGCAGGATATTCATTTGAGTGAAAGAAATGAAAAGGAAAAAAAAAAAAAAGCTTTCAGTTTTGGGAACATTGTTCTGTTGTTTTGAAGAGTAGGCAATTTACAAGCAGAATTAGTCTAGAAAGAATAGGAAAAATAAATCTGACTTGCATGTATATATTTACCAACCTTAACTGACACAAGATCACAACTGTGGAGTATTCATGAGGATTGAACTCATTACACTTACAAATGATTCACCAGACCAGCTTGCTAACCATTGCTCAACACCCAAGCACACTGATTTTATGGAATGTACAAAGAATTGCAGAATGCCAACCATTTTTAAGAGTTTAAATCTGTCATCACAAATAAAAGCGGCAAGAAAAAGGTTTTAACAGCTGTGTTATAAAATTGGAATGTTGCAAAAAAAAAAAAAAAAAAAAAAAAAGAAATTATTTGGATTATCTCAAAAATTAGAAGGGAACAGGGTGGGGATTCTCACACCCAGAATTTTAGTTTGTAAGTTAATTTCTTACATTGTACTATACAGAGCTAAGAATTAGAATTTTTTTTTTATCATGTATCTTTTATTTTGGGTTTGCCTATATTACAGAAAGTTTTCTTTATATGTACTGCATTATTCATAGTCAATAGTTTTTGATATAACCTGATTTAAATTATTATTATTTAAAATATATCTAGTTTAATGTCACTTTGTTTTAGGGTTGTTCATGCAAACATTTTTAAAACTAAAAACATTAAAGTAATTTTTAGTAGATATACCATAATTTTTATCTATTATTAGATGAAGCATTATCAAATGTAAATATAATTAATAATGGCTGACATTGCTTCATCAAATGAAAAAAAACTGTACAATAGCATCAAATATGGTGCTTAGCAAAAGAAAGAAGAAAAAATGCGGTTAGAATTGAGCTTCTGTCAGCTGTAATAGTTTTTGTAGTTTAATTGACAGAGCAGCTGATACGGTTAAACAGGCATATTCTTTATTTCTGATCAGTACTATTTACTAAGTTTGAATATTAACAACAAAAAGCCACGGTCATCAATTTCAAAAACACAAACTTAGTGATTTATCTTTTAATAGTTTGACAGATGAGATGGTCAAAGAATAGCTACAGCTGGTTCCAATAATTCATGTCATATGGATCAGTTGAAAGCAGTGAAGAAATCCAATGTTGAAGGCTAAAACACAACTGAATGCAGACCTGATTTTGTTAAACATTTTGTGTAGCATTCTACACAGTTTAGAGTTTGACTACACTTGAAAATTTTGAATGACACACTTTAATTCTTTCAGCTATCTAGACAACTCATGGTTTGTGAATGCCACAAAAATTCTTGATTGCTGTACAATTCCTGTGAAGTTAAGTATAACAGTTTTAATGAACAGAACTACAAATAGAAATTTTTCCAAAAAGACTACACATTTTAGCTGTCCCTACTACTCATGGCTTTTGTTGTACATGGCACAGAACATAATGTTGTTAACATTTACTCAGTTCATCTAATTTAGCATTCAGCTCCTCTTTCAATTTCAATATGTCTATGGATTTCTCCTTTGCAGATCTTTGCATGGCATTGGACTTTGCAATAAGTGTGAAGTTCTGAGTTTGCTCAGCTTTCTCCACATAGCTGTCAGCTGACTTAAATCTTGTGTGCAACTTTCAAGTTTGTGT